AAAACAAAGCTACCTGAATTGGGAATTATGTTAAAACTGCACTGTAGTTTATTTTAGTTACATAAAGTAATTAAAATTAGTTTTTAGAAAAAAGTCTTAGTGCATGATTTCTGTAACTACAGAGAAGGAAAAAGAGAAAAGAAGGGAAAGGGAGAGGTGGGTAGGGAGAGAAACAAAGAACTAGAGTAAACACCTCTCTGTCCTCAGTGGGCTCAGGCTTTCCTTAAGCCATGACACAGCTAAGTCTTAAAGATGAGTAAGAGTTGAACTACAAAGGTAGATTTCATTAGGGAGAGTGAAGTCTGCACTTTCAAGGAGGTGGCATTTGAAACAAATTTGAAGGGTAGAAGAGGAGTTAGCCACAGATGATCATCAGAGAAGCAAGTATAGGTGGATACAAAATCATGAGCAAAGACAATGAAGTGGGAAAACAACTTGTAGTTGATACCTGGCATGTAATCTAGATCCTCAAAGTGAAGTCTGTGGACCACAGTATCAGCATGACTAGCATGCCTGAAAGTCTGTTAGAAATACAGAATTTCAGGCTGGGCGTGGTGACATGCCTGTAATCCCAGCACTTTGGGAGGTCGAGGCGGGCAGATCACCTGAGGCCAGGAGTTCAAGACCACCCTGGCCAACATGGTGAAGTCCCATCTCTACTAAAAATACAAAAAATGAGCCAGGCATGGTGGTGGGCACCTTTAATCCCAGCTACTCAGGAGGCTGAGGCAGGAGAATCACTTGAACCCGGGAGGCGGAGGTTGCAGTGAGCCAAGAACACATTGCACTCCAGCCTGGGCAACAGAGCAAGACTCCATCTCAAAAATAAATAAATAAAAACAGAATTTCAGACACACTGACCTACTGAATCAGAATCTGCACTCAAAGACTCCTACGTAATGCAGATTAAACTTTGAGAAGCACTGCTCCAGAACATTTGACTGGCTCTCAAATTATCTAGAGTTTTTAAAAATTTTTGATGCTGGGCCCCATCCCGAAAAATTCTATATAAACTGGTATGGGATGTAGCCTGGATATTGTTGTTTTAATTTTCCCAGGTAATTCTAATGTGCAACCAAGTTTGAGAACCACTGGAGATTGCAAAACAATCTGTCCTCAGTGGAGGATAGTAGGAATTAAGCCTAAAAAGGTTCATTGGGCTGGACCAGAGAGTTTCAAATGCCAAATCAAAGATAGGAGACCCTTTTTAAAGCTAGGCATTAGGGTCTAAAATCCACAGGTATGTCCATTCCCCTATAAAAGACAAATCAGTTCTGTACCAGAGCATGCTCCTGACTTGAATGTATGCAGTACATATTTAACTGTAAAGTATCAACCGCCACGAAAATCCAATGAATTGCTGTTTCCAAGTTTGTTTTTGTTTGTTTGTCTGTTTGAAGTCTCGCTGTGTCATTCCAGGCTGGAGTGCGATGGCGCGAGCTCGGCTAACTGCAACCTCCACCTCTTGGGTTCAAGCAATTCTCCTGCCTCAGCCTCCCTGAGTAGTTGGGATTATAGGTGCCCACCACCACGCCCGGCCAATTTTTTGTATTTTTAGTAGAGACTGGGTTTCACTATGTTGTCCAGGCTGGTCTTGAACTCCTGATCTCAGGTGATCCGCCCCCACCCCGGCCTTGACCTCCTAAAGTGCTGGGATTACAGACATGAGCCACCGTGCCTGACCCTATTTTTGTATATTTTAAAATGTTTCTTTAAAATACAGTGAAATGGCTAAAAGGAATGATTGGTTTTCTGATTTAGTTTCTCCCACCTTTAGGTTTGAAAGGCATACAAAACCCAAAGAAAGACAGATTCCTAAGTGTAACTGCATCTATCTCAATATCCATTATCTAAACCAGAAAAGGGAGATGATTCAAAATTCTATTTTTGAAATGTCATCTTGATGGCTTCTGCCCTCACACCTTCCCATCAGATGGCGCTGTCATCACAGTTTATACCAAGTGTCAATGTTTTTATAGTAAGTACACAGTCACTTAGCCAAGGTTCTCATGCTTTTTATGCAACATGGTACCTGGTGTAGTCTTTTGTCCAATGAATGACCTTCCTGTACCCAGTGTGGTTGGGACCAACATGCTCTGATTGCATAACTAAGAAAAGAAAAATTTATAAGAGGAACTAACTCCCACTTTTAAAAAATCACCCAAATCATCCTCACTGGAATATAAGTAGGCATAATTCACAGCATTTTTTAAAATGATAGAAACATATCCAGTATATCCAGAAAGATAACATTTGCTTGGATTGAGGTGAGAAGAGAAAGGCCTTGCTACTCATTAAGAAATTAACCTGGGAAGTTGGATTGGTTTTTAGGAGACATGGAGAAAAGTAGTGATGATCACACATCTACATAAATTTATTAAAAATTATCAAGCCAGACCAGGCGCAGTGGCTCCTGTCTATAATCCCAACACTTTGGGAGGCCGAGGCAGGTAGATCACTTGAGGTTAGGAGTACAAGACCAGGCTGGCCAACATGATGAAACCCCATCTCTACTAAAAATACAAAAAATTAGCCGGGCTTGGTGGCGTGCGCCTGTAGTCCCAGCTACTCGGGAGGCTGAGACAGGAGAATCGCTTGAACCCGGGAGGCAGAGTTGCAGTTAGCTGTGATCATGCCATTCCATTCCAGCCTGGGTGTGTATTTATAATAGCTGAAGTATGGTATATAAATTATATATTAAGCTTCAAAAAGTCAGGGGGAGGGGTTTAGAGAAAGCAGGGAGTGAGACTATAGTAACATTATCATAGGACCATCTAAGAAGCCTGGTGCCTAAAAGATTAGGATTAAATGATAAAAGCAGGTGAGGAAACCCTGATCATCATCTTCTGATTTGCCCACCCTCTGCAAGATGATCTACCCAAGTGAGTCACTTTCCTTCTTTGGAACCTCACAAAGTCACAGGGGAGGGGTGTTGAAATCACATAGGAGGAATTGATACTTTCATGTTCTTGGCTCCAAGCATTAGTGACCTGGGGCATGGAGGTCAGTAGCACTTTTAATACTAAAAAGGAAGCCAAGGCCTGTAGTGGGGCAGAGAGAGGAAGTGCTGTACCCAACATATTTCCATAAGCCAGGGTGTCCTAGGTGACCCATCTAAAGAGGAAGATACTTGTCTGAGGTAAGTAAACATCTTCAAGGTCACTGGAAACACGCCTGGGCCCCAAGAGAGGTCGAATTCTAAAGGTTGTCCTAGATCTGCAGATATAGTCTGTTGTTTATATGTGAGTGAGCAGGGTTATTCTTAAAACTGTTCTTGTCTTACTCAGGATTTCTATAGGAGCTGTATCTTGTTCTGAGGCAGGCATGCAAGTTTGTCAGCTTTTCACACTGAACAAGGAGGAGAGACAATATATGGGAAGAACTTCATTTTATGGAAAAGGCAAATTCATACCACAATAGTGCACAAAAGTATGAAAACCTCTGCCAAAGAATGATTTATTTTGACACAGTAAGACTGGTTATAAAACACAGATGCTTTATGCAGGAATCATCCAGCAAGACAAGACGTTCTCAGTGGAGCCTCCACTGAAAAGCTCAAATAAAATTAATTTGTCCCATTATGACTGACAGGGACAAGAAAAGCTAAAGTTCTTTGCAGTGGTAGAAGTTTCTCTTTAATTTTAATTTGGTTATGGAAAACAAATTTCATTGTAATGAAGTAATGACACTTTTCCTCCTTTTGAAAAATCAGTTGAATTTTTGGAGAAGTGAGAGACTTACAAAGCATTCAGAAATAGCTGAGATGCTTTATCCTGACTCCATATCCTTGGCCCTTTCTGCTCATGGAAGTCCCAGACTCCTTACATTTTGATGTTTAGGGAAGTCTCAGAGATTACCTCTCTCAGCCACCTCATTTCACAGATAAGACTAAGGCCCAAAGGGCTACAAAATGGCTTCCCCAAGCAGTTGAATAACCTGAGCTTCAGACAGAACTAGAAGAGGGTCTTCCCAACACAGTCTCCAAAACTGTCACTGAACCAAACTGGGTATTTGCCCGTGCACAGTGGAAAGTCAAACACCAAACACCTAGCACCAGGTTTTTGCAGGAGAAAGGTGTATTGCTGCTTGACTGACAAGGAGACAGGAGGAACCACTCAAATCTGTCTCTCTAAGCTGGGGGCCGGGTCATGTTTTAGAAGCATAGGGTAATGAGGCATGATCTGACTGGATCCTGCAATGGGGTGACGCCAAGGCTCTATCTGATTGGATCCTGCCATGAGGCATAAGCTTCTTAATTAGCTCCTCAGTCTGAAAACTTAGGTTCCTCCTATGGTTGCATATTTAGTTCATCTGGGCATGCTCAGATTATGTGACCTTCAACCTAGGGGGGTCCATGGAAACTCAAAAACAACTCACAACTTTGTTACATAAAAGTTGAGGGCCAGGCACGGTGGCTCACGCCTCTAATCCCAGTACTTTGGGAGGCTGAGGTGGGCAGATCACGAGGTCAGGAGATTGAGACCATCCTGGCTAACACGGTGAAATCCCATCTCTACTAAAAATACAAAAAATTAGCTGGGCGTGGTGGCGGGCGCCTGCAGTCCCAGCTACTCAGGAGGCTGAGGCAGGAGAATGGTGTGAACCCAGGAGGTGGAGCTTGCAGTGAGCCAATTTCGGGCCACTGCACTCCAGCCTGGGTGACAGAGCAAGACTCTGTCTCAAAAAAAAAAAAAGTTGAACCAGGTGGTCTAGTACAATTACAAAACACAAATACAATAATAAGCAAGGCTCCCGGAGGTCACAGGGTCACCTAGAAAAGGTCACTGCCTTCTAAGAGCTTTCCAGTACACCCTCTAAGGCATCAAGCAGGTAGCAGCATCATGTTAAACCACCCCATAGGGAATGGAGGGCCTCTATTCTCTAAGACTTTTCTGTTGAATGGCAAGTAAGGCTTACACTAGTTCTCTTAATAAAAAAAGAAGAAGAAGAAAAGAGAAAAAAAGAAAGCTAAACTCACTGTCTACTGTCTCTTTCCACAGGATCATAAGTTTTTACTGCCAGTATTGAGAAATTCATGGAAGAAATGTCAGCAGGAAGTAAAAATTCACCGAGAAGTGTGTGTGTGTTCGCTGCTTCCACACATTAATGGCATGATTTTTTTTATGCAAAAAGAAAAGAAAAGAAAACCACCCACATTTTAATTTAGCATGAGCCAATTTACAGAGCATGGAAATCACTTTCATTTCCGGATTGGCGCGTGTGCAATTAGCAATGCAGTGTATATACAAGAAGCCATGCTGTTAACAGTTTATCTCAAGTAATTTGGTGTCATTTACAAAAGGAAGAAATTCCTGCCATCAGAAGGGACAGAAGGAGATGGAATGATCAAATCACAGAGAAACACTAAAATTACTAAATCTACAACAGCTCGCCTTATTTTTCTTGGACCCAAACTGTCAGGGTATAAACACTATTTGTTTCTTTTTTAAAACATCGATAGTTTTGCTGTAAATAATAACACTGTATAAATTCTAACAGAAAAATAGAATAAAATGTTGATAAGGCACTGCCTCTTAGAACACAAACAGAATATTGCAAATGCATTTAACAAATAGGGGTCTCAAGTGACTTCACCCTAGAAGAGGAGGGAGGGATTCTGGGTTGGGGGGGGGACTCTTCACTGATTCTTGTATATTAGCAATTATAATGTTTGTATATGCAAAACTGCTAGCTTGATTTTAAAAAGAAAAACAAATCTTTAAAATCTGCTGTAAATTTAAATAATTCCCAAAATGAGGAATTCTGTAGTTCTGTGAAAAAATTTTTTCTTCAGAATACTAATATTTTGATGCATGTGTATCACCTTATTTTGATTAAATCTTTTCCAATTTTGCAAACACTACAATATACTGCAACACAAAAGATTTTATCTGTAAACACAAAGCCCTTCATCTAATATTTGTTGCTATTGCCAATTTTTCAATGAAATGACCTAAAAACAACAAAAAAAAAATAACCTATACGGTAGTTGCTTTAGGGGGTGGGGGGATGCTAACTGTTAGTGCTTAAAAGGGGGTAAATGCTTGCCGCTTTAGAGGTGGATGGTGCTCATAAGAGGCCCCAGTCGGGGGTATTTAAAACGGACTGAACAGAAATTCTTAGCTAGTAGAATGGCAGCACGCTGTAAAATTATTACTGTATTGTGTACTGGCTATAAGATGTAGACACCTTTCAGTAAGCCAATCATTTGTAACCATTCTAGCAGTGTCATATTAGGTTAATAAGGCTGCTGTGTTTTCAAGGGCATTTTTATTTGGGTTTTGGTGAAATTCTTTAATTTGTTGATTATATTCACATAAAATCAGCATTCATTGACACATAGCTCTAATGACATATGTATGAAAAACCATACACTGGATGACCTAGTCGATTATTTAAGCATAAAATAAATTGTGTTAAACTCTTCACCTATCTGTGCTCTACAGTCTCCTTGTGTTTTCTGGCAAAAGGTAGTTGTCTAATCCCTTGTCATATGAGTCCTGGTCAATCCACCCCGTTAGTCCTCTTTGTGCCTCTGTGGTCACTGATGAGATGACAGTCTCTAACATTCATATGTGCCCTGCAAGCTCCCAGCTTATAAATTCTGTGCATTTCTTGGGGGAGCCAAGAATTAAAGATTAGTTGACAAGTAAATTTTGCCCACATCTGTTCAGGCCATCTCAAAAAGTGGAGAATTGGAGATACCATAGCCAGCATGTCAAAAACTTGACTGGCACTTCTAGGAGCCATCAACATGCAGTTGCTTTTAGCCCACAGAGCATTTGTTTTGTTTTATTAATTTATATTTATTGTCCATTCTTACAAGTTGGGAGATTTCATATAATCAAGTTGCTAACTTCTCTTAAAAAGCAAGATTTGGCAACAATGGACCTCATTCCCAGAAGGTAACAACCTGCTGGGGCCAAATTGTCCCTGCCCACTCCAGCCAGGTATGGGGTCTACAGGTATCACTGCCACAGCCTCATTTCTTATATTTGTACATCCTGACAATGAGTTTGCAACCCATACACTGCGTGAATCTAAATTCTACTGAGGCAGAGACCATGGCTGTTTTAACTTTGATTCTAGTTACCAGCTTAGCATATGGTAGTAGTGATAGTAGTAACTGTCATCATCACCACTAAAACTGGAGTGCTCGCTACATGCTATTCTCTGTTCTAAGCACATTCCATTTACTTACTTAGTCCTTATATCTCCTTTATGAATTAGGTACTGTCTTTCTTTGATGGTAATGATCCTTTTATAAAATTACATGAGTGCTTAGAGACTTTCAGCAATGTTATATATTGCCTGTTCATTAAAGATTGTTGCCAAGTAGAATGAGTTGTCCCCAGTAAGGACTCACTATCAATGCAGAAGAAATGCACAGATAATCTACTTTGCATAAAGAATGGGGCTAGGTTGCATCTGTGTGGTATCCCAGATTTAAAAATGTGCCACTACCCTTGCACCAAAATTATTTTATGATGGGTAAAGTTAGACCCTTGAGAAGTTTAAAAAAAAAAACTTTCCCAAAAAGTTCTGAGCCTGTAAAGCCAGGATCAGAATATAGGTGTCCTAACTTCCTATCTAAGAGTTATGAATTTCTGACTCAGTCTTTGAGAGAAGGTGTTTATCCTGAACCAGAAACTCAATGATATATACCTGTTTACGTATTAAATAGTTGTGTTTATATACCCAAAAATTTGACTTTAGGTATATGTGATATGCTTTGGTTCCAATCAAGCAGAAGGTCATAAGTTTACTCAGAAGTATCCAAAATATGACATTCAAGATTTAACTTGCATATGTGTGTATATGAATATATTTATACATGTATATGTGGATTGAATGTGACATACATTATGTATTTCTAACATAATATTTGGCCTGCCAGCTTATAAATATGTATTTAAGCTTTTCATTGATTGACATTACTGTAAAAAATGAATTGTGATTGATAAGTTCTGGATATTTGCTGTTTTTTTTCATTTTATATTCTAACTAAATTATTGAATTTATTAAATTAAAATATGCTATCACTGTATTGCCAAATTATGGCAATACACTATGCAGTATTATTTCAATACTTTTAAGAGGCATCTATTTCTTCATTGAACACATAAGCAGCTAGCCTCCTTTCCTCTGTAAATAAGGACTTTTTTGGCATCCTGATGTTCCTCGCTGTTCATTTGGTGTCATCCTGGAGTTCCATCAAGACTGAGGATTTTCTCCATGGCCAATAAACTATTATCAGCATCAGCTCATGTTTGGCTGTATGACAGGGATATGTGAGAAGCCCAGAAATAAATCACAAAAATAATAAGGCATCTTCTGAGTCTCTCTAAAGAAGCCAGTGATCCAAAAACTAACTTCTTATCTGAGTGAGTCTTGGTATTCTTGCTTTGCTTGAAGAGGCTGTGGCATATTACATGGTGTGTAATTTCGCAGGCATATCACACTGCTTCTGTTTCATGAATTGATGATCAAATTGTCCAGAAGTAAACATTTACAAGATTGAGATTTGAACCAAACTTTTCAAGAGTTATTTTAATAATACGAGGTGGAAGGCAGTGGTGTAATTTCTTTACACGGTTACCTGGCTAAATATGTACCAATACAAAAATTAAATAATAGAGCAGATTCTGGTAAGTATCCTTAGTAACAAGCCCAACAGCTTTCATTTATTTAATAGAATTAAATGCAGATAGTTCAAAATAGAGTAAAATGAAATTTACCATCGTATCTGCTACACTTATTCACTGATAGCTACATACGATATGTGCAAGCAGGTGAACATAAAGTGAAGAATTTTTACTCTTCAGCCCCTAGTGCTTCCTGAGTTAGGGAATAAGATGCCCTGAGGGTTGCATTTCCAACTGGACATCCTGAGACTCCTCACCAATTCCAAAAGAGTTCCATAGCAAAGTTGAGATGAACATGCTCAGGGGATTCTAAGGCAGTGAGAAGAACTATCTTAGAATGCCACAGGAAGCACACCAGAAGCAATACCTCTGAGGACTTCTTTTCTAGGACCACCATATAACTGATATCCCAAAAAACATGATCTCCCTGCCTGATTCCGCACCCCCCCCCCACATCCCCAGCATCCTCAACTACCACTTCTCCTTTGTCATCTAACTCAACCATTGGCATAATTCTGAGAGCTGAGAGAGAATAATGACTTGCCAGCTTTTCAAAAATGTTCTGTCACATGATGTATGCCACCAGGTCTTCATACTAGACTGTACACTCCCTGGGGACAAGGACTTTGTTTTGTTCTATGCTACATCTATAATACCCACGATAGTGCCTAACACCTTATGAGTGCTCGAGAAATATTTGTTGAGTGCAAGAATGAATGAGTCAGCAAACATCAGAGGCCAAGGAGCAGTAAATAGGGAATGTTACTCTATACCATTTTCTTTACAGGCTCAACCAACTTGGAAAGTGAAGGAAAGCACAGCTTTTGATTCTAATGACTTCATTCACCAAGGACTAGCTTGTGTCACCAACTTCCACTGGCCCATTCCAGTTGCACGATCTCCTTCTTAGCCAAAAAGTCCTTAGTAATTGGGGTCTGGATGTACCAATACCTCATGAGCAAAGGGCACACAGTCACACTGCTGAAGTGGCCATCCTTCCTGTGGCCATGGTCGATGGTGCTCATCCTCATCACTGACTGGCCACTGAGAAACCAGGCAAGAGTGTGGATAACCCATCATGAACCTTCCTGTCTATAACAAAGTTAGTTTGGTTGCCTCCACCTTGGTGTTGCTGAGTAAATGTGTTTCACCATTCACCACAGCTCCTCCTCCTTTCCCGTTTCCTCTAAAATCGAACCTACTTTATTCATTTCTATCCCACATCTCTGTTTAATATCATTAGAGGAAGGAAAGGAAGGCAAATGGATACTATGCTGTTTAAAATCCTTCTTTCTGGCAAGTTAGATATCTACCTCATTTTCATCCCGTCTCTCTCAATGCCAATAAGAGGATGGAATAAAGGAGCATGTAACTGAGAAGAGAAGGATGCATCATGTGGTTCTCCAAACCCATGCATCCCTCCAATCATTCGTCTCATTTCACAACATGTAACTCAGTGCCTGCCACTTTCCAGGTGCTCTCCCAGGCACAGGATACATCAGTTCCCTACCCACTACCGTCAAAGTGAGGAGAATACCACCAGCCTCTGTGTGAAATCTAAATTAGGGCTCCTCAGGACAGGAAATTATAGAACGACTTGTGGAAATAAAACTACTGCAGCACATCATAGGCAGTGCATGCTGAAGAATGTGAGAAGACATATAAGGTGGGGAGGAACAGCCTTGTGGCTGCTGAGCATAACCAATGCACATTCTCTTTTTTTGAGACGGAGTTTTGCTCGTCACCCAGGCTGGAGTGCAATAGCGCAATCTCGGCTCACTGCAACCTCCGCCTCCTGGGTTCAAGCAATTTTCCTGCCTCAGCCTCCCAAGCACATGATATTACAGGCACCCGCCACTATGCCTGGCAAATTTTTTTTTGTATTTTTAGTAAAGATGGGGTTTCACCATGTAATCCAGGCTGGTCTCGAACTCCCGACCTCAGGTGATCTGCCCGCCTCGGCCTCCCAAAGTGTTGGGATTATAGGCGTGAGCCACCCAGCCCCACTGCACTTCCATATTCCGCCTGCTAGTCAGAATTAAGTGGGACTCAAGACCTGACAAAAATATTTCAATAGAAAACTTTAAAAACATTTTAAAGGCAGCTAACCAACTCTATAATATTGTATAAGCCCATCTGACTTCCAGAGATTCTGAATTTAGGTGAAACCAGTAGTAACTTTGAACTCATGCACAATGTTCTCCTTCCATATGCCAATTCCTACATAAATTTGACCACCTCACAGAGCCTACCCCTACCAATGCCAGTCCACACTGGCAACTGGTAAACTAAAGGAATACCTCACAATTTGGCACTCAAATCTACATCCTCTGGTAGTCCCCTTGCTCTCTAGCAAGGCTTGTGCTTTCCACATTTCCATGAGCAGAGCTGGGTACACAGACAGTTTGTAATGTTGAGCTTCACATGCCTAATCATTTACCTGTTCTTTATGGTAAAAGCCTTAGGCTTCAACGATGCTGCAATACACGTCTGATAGCTCAGTCTGGGCGCACACCCCACCCACTGGAAGCCAGTGCCTAAGTGCGGTGAAGAGTGGAGCTAGAGCTATCACACAGCCTGGCTTTCTGACACTGCTATCATAGTTAGTGTGCCTTGCCCAAGTGGAGCCTGAAATAAGAAGTAAAGAGTATCGAGGGAAAAGCCTGTGAAATATTAACCTATTTAAGAACACGTGGCTCTAAAGAATGATAAAACAAATGTAGTGGTGACAGCTGTAGCATTGTAAGCTTTGGAGTAGCCCTCATGCTTCTGGCCATGATAAAACTAGATTCTCAAGTTCCTTAGCCCAGAGTGGTCACATTGAAGTGTCTATGGAGACTAGACAGGTCATCTGAGCAAAGGGGTTGTGGTGGACTATTGTACATAAATATTAGCTGCCGCTCCCTGAGGGTGGATTACACTTCCCAGCCCCAGTGCCTTCACCTTTGCCATGGAACTTGCTTTGGGCAATGAAATAACAGCAGATACTTTAGGAGGTAGTGTATTTTTGTTCATGTACCCTTTCCTCACTCCAGTGGTGCTCCAGAGAGACTGCTCCCTGCTCTGGTGCTGGGGTGAAGATGATGTGGAGCAGAACCACAGTCAACCCACCATGGATAAGCAATGTGAGCAAGAAACAAACTTTTCTAGTAAGCCAGAGATGTTTTAGTCATTTGTTACTGTGGCATAACCACTATCCCAATTAATATACAAGTCAGGTATAAGACATTAAGGACTGATGGGTGCTGGGTAAGCACATTCCTCTTCTAATGAGGCTACCTTGTGGGAATATAAGTCCAGCTCTGCCAGATTTGAAGTTTTTTAAATATTGGCAACTAATTTTTTTCCCTAATAATATTGTATGGGCCAAATGAAACATGCCTGTGGGTTGCCGGTTTTCAAGCTCTGCCACTAGCTCTTGGCATTTGCAAAATGGACACATTCTTAGATCATGCTACACAAATATATTAATGTATGATTTTTTTTATCTCACCCTGTGAGACTAGTGTGCATAAGCAAATGACTCCTGAGTCAGATTCACAGACTACCTCTTATCCCCCCCTCAGTACAGCTTGGTTTTTCTCTATGCAACATTTCAAACCCTAGGACTCTGAGGATCTCAGGGAGTCACTTAAGCTTTTTTACTCACATTGTATTGCCTTTTTAGTGAAGACTTCACCATTCCATCTGGGCTTGGCATGGTTCCCTGCCTACCTGTAATAACCACATCTCATGCCATCTTATCTCTTTCTCTCATTACACTTTAGACCAGTGATAAAGTGTAGCCCATGGCTGGTCCTAGACTGAGAATCCCTTGTTACCTGTCTGCAGTGAGACAAGAAACCTGAGCCAGAATGTAAATCGACTGCATTACTAAGCATATTCTTTAGTTCAGCTGATTAAAAAAATACAGTATGTTAACTTATGTAATACATAGCACTCCCCATATAGTCTTATGTTGTATTTATTTCAGAACATATCTTGGTTTTATGACTAGAATAAAGCTTTTTTTGAGTCCTTGGGCCTCAGCTCTTATTCCTTTTTATTTCTGATACATACATATGTCTAGAACAGTGACTTGGACACAGTATAAACTAAACAAATACCACTTGAGCTGAATTTGATTTACAGTCATACCCACATACATCCATGTCCCACTTTCATCCCCTCATGCAGATTCCAAGCTTCTCTTGAAAAATCAGAAGAGCTGGCCATTCTGGGCCTGAATTCCTGCATTGTAGTATTGTGGTAGAGCTAACTAGCACTGTTTTTCGTTGGAGCAAGTGCTCTCAAGTTTTCTACAGTCTCTACTACTCTGTCATGCCTTGCACAGGGTCCTGTGGCACTTGATTTTTGACCATTGTAAAGCCAAAAGAGTTTAGATGGCAGCTACCATTTTGCCGCGCTAGGGTCGGAAGAGTTGCAGACATTATAGAACGTATTCACTCAGGCTGCCTGAACAGTTCTTTTCTGTTATTGTTCAACCAGCAAGATTTTCATTTCAGCCAGAAAGATGGCTCATTTTTCTAGCACCAATTTCGCAGAGGCTGTGCAGTACTTGGGTGATTCAAAGAGTCATCTAAAGATCTGATGCCATGACACATACCAGATGACTTTAACAACCTTCCCATCACATGTCCTTGGCACAGAATGGAAAAACACTATGACACCTGACAGTAACAGAA